ACTGGAGTCAAGGAGTTTAAGCCAGCCTAGGCCATATAGAGATACCTTGGTTTTATTTTTGTTTGTTTTTTAAATGTCGTATGGGTGTTTTGCCTGTGTATATGTCTGTGCACCACTTCTGTACTTGGTGTGGGTAGGGGCTGGAAGCGGGTGTCAGATTCCCTGGAACGGAGTTAGAGACTGCTGTGGGATGCAAGTTTAGGTGCTGGTCTATGAGCCTCCAGGTGGGTGCTGGGAATCAAATCTGGACTCTCTGGAAAAGCAGCCCCTTAACTTATCTGCTGAGCCATCTCGCCAGCTCCTGACCCTGTCTTTTAAAAAGAAATTTAGGGTATGGGAGGGTGACTCCATCAACAAAGGGACCCCAGTTCAATCACCTGAATCAAGTATGAGGGCATGCTCTTGTAACCCCAGCATTGGGGAGATGGAGGCTGGTGAATCCCTGGAGAATCTCTGGCCAGACAATCTAGCCCAATTGGTGAACTCCAGAGAATGACACCCAGGGTTGTTCTCTTGCACATATATCTCCTATACACACTGAACACACATACACATTAAACATGCATACATAAACACATTTTAAAAAACATGAAACTTGCCGGGCGTTGGTGGCGCACGCCTTTAATCCCAGCACTCGGGAGGCAGAGGGAGGCGGATCTCTGTGAGTTCGAGGCCAGCCTGGTCTACAAGAGCTAGTTCCAGGACAGCCTCCAAAGCCACAGAGAAACCCTGTCTCGAAAAACAAAAACAAAAAAAACAAAAAAACCACAAAAAAACATGAAACTTTAAGACTTTTGATAAAAGGCTTTTCTGTCCTGCCCAGCTCCGAAGCCATTTCCAAATAATCACTCGGAGACTTAATATAAATTAGAAATGTTTGGCTGATGGCTCAGGCTTATTTCTAGCTAGCTCTTACATTTAAGTTAATCCGTTTCTATTAATCTGTGGGTGGCACATGGCCTGTGGCTTACCGGTGGTGCTCTGGCATGCTGCTCCTTGGGCAACTGCTGGCATCTCTCTGACTCTGCCCTTCTTCTCCTGTATCTCTGTTTGGATTTCCCACCTGGCTCTATCTTGCCTTCCCATAAGCCAAAGCAGCTTAATTTATCAACCAGTGAGAGCAACACATATTCACAGTGTACAGAAAAACATCCCAAATCACTGGTGTTTATTATATAGGCTTGTTATGATATGGGTGGGTATAGGTTGGGTGTTTGAAATAGCTATAGGCACAAGGTGTTGGTGGTGTGTGCCTTTAATCCCAGCACTCAGGAGGCAGAGGCAGGCAGATCTCTGTGAGTTCGAGGCCAGCCTGGTCTACAGAGCAAGTTCCAGGACATCCAGGGCTACACAGTGAAATCCTGTCTTGAAAAACCACACACACACACACACACACACACACACACACACACACACACACACACACACACACACACACAGTAGCTGTAGGCACCAGGCAAGTGTAAGTATGGCCTGTCATTATCTCCCGGATTGCAAAGCCTGTTTCTTAGACAGACCAGTTTCACTCCACCAGCCCCACTCCTACTTTCCCTGCCCTTAAAGAAACACTCCTCTTCAAAGGCCATCTTTGGAAAAACACTGGCTCTCCTCACATTTTACTTCCTGGTAACAGTGAGGGAGAAGCTCATCTTCCCGATAAGGCAGTGACTGGCTGGTTCTCATAAAATGTTCATTGCTATGCCAGCTTTTCCCCACAGACTGTTTCCTCCAGGGCCCTCAGTCACTGTAGCAATCAACACTGAAAGTGGGACCCGGGACCAAGGACAGGGCAGGGGCACAGCACTCGGCTGCAAAGGAAACCCCTTGCCAGCTTGCTAATGAACCAAGCTAGAGAGGACAGGATTTTGTGGGCAGGCTTCTATCTCTCAAAATATACTTTACAGCACTGAGCCCACAACCAGTGAAGGGGGTGGGGCTCGTGTGGTTGGGTATGACCTGCTGCTACTGTGTGATCACTGCACTTCTGCTTATGTTTGAGTGGCACTTTCTAAGTCAAAGTCCCTTCTATGATCTCACTGATACCACAGCCTTGGTGGCATGTACTGATGTTCCCTGGGTGATGATACCCTCTTTTAACTGATGAGCAAACTGAGGTGATGCACTTCAGAAAGCGTCACGAGCCAGGCGTGGATGGAATGAGGCCCTCTGCAGCGAGGCCCAGTGTTTTTCCACTGGCTTCGGAGGAGGAAGTCAGAAGGTCCCTGGACTCCACCTCAGGAGCGCTAATAATGTTTGTTACATGCTGAAGAAAATGAAGCCCTGCACTGTCTTCACATCCCTGCCAAGTTCCTTACACACTGCTCTCAGAGCCCTGAAAGAAGCCAGAGGGTCATGACTGTCCCATTACAGACCACAGGCAATGCAGGGGCTATGATTCTTCTCAGATCCCCAAAGTCTTACATCAGGTGACCCAGTGGTGGGACACATGGACATTGGTCTACAGAGCTCAAGACATCAGGAAAACATCCACTCAAAGCAGTCAGGCTGTGGCAGAATAAATAAATAAATAAATAAATAAATCGTTTGCCATGCTTTCTGGGGCTTCCAAGGCTTTCATCTCAGGCCAGGACAAGGCTCAAAGGGCTGATTTTTAAAAACCTATTTGTCACATTGACACTAATCCTCTTGTTAACAGTTTGCCCCGCAGCAGAATTGGTGCTCTGCAGCAGAGGCCAGAGCAGGGAACCGCCTTGGTGGGGTCAGCACGTCCTGAAGCTACCTTCTTCAAGGGGACAGGGGGGACTGTGATCTTGCCTAGGGTCCCCTGCTGTGAACCTAATTCACTCTTCAGCCACTCCCTAACTAATCTACTCCTGGCTCCTGCCATCCCACCCAGTCTTCAGCCCACCCAGTCTTTACCTCTCGTTGATTTTGATATTTAAGGAAAATCCATTTGTTTGATTCAGAGCAACTGAATCATCAGTGTTCAGACAAACCCACTCACAAGGTAGGCATTTGGCAGAGGCCACTTATGTGTGGGAACCCAGCTTCGTCTCCAAACAGGGCTGCCCATTCTGGCTCCTGGCTGCTCCCCTCTGCTGCTCTGACCGATGGCCCTTCCTGGTAGCCTTCAGACACTCTGTCTGTCACCCCAATAAAACCGGACCCCTTACACAGGCTCCTGTGTTTACCTACAAACTCAAGTTCACTGTTGGAGGTGTGCAACTGGGGCCTTTGGAGCAGAGTGTGACACAGGGGAGAAGTACTGACCTAAGCATAAGACTAAATTCTCACAAGAGGACGGCACTGACCTTCCTTGCCACTTGGGAAGCACCTTGGGAGTGGCATCATGTTGTCATTACAAGTGTGGCTGCATGGGCTCCAGGCTCAGTTTGACTTCAGCTGTTCAGTCACTGATGTTCATTTGCCACCATCTTTTGTCCTTGGGACTTCAGGGCCAAGAAACTATGCAGTGAGCATCAAGAAAGGACAGAGTCTGTCTATGTAGCCCACACTGGCTTCAAACTCATGATCCCTCTGCCTTAGCCTCCTGAGTGCTGCGATTACAGGTATGTGCCACCCATGCCCAGTGATGGTGCTTCTTAAGACAAGCCCCCTCCCTCAATGCAGGCTGCGGGTACTCTGAGAAGGGATTCCAATTGGTGAGTGTCAAGTTAATTGGTTAAGTCTCTTAAAATGCTGTTTAGTGAGGATGTACTATCACAAGCACGTTACCTGTATTATTCCCTTTTTAATCCTTTTGACAACATTACAAGACAGGAACTACTGTTGTCTCTTTTTACAGAAGAAGAAACAGAGGTAGCCAGAGGTGAAAGAGCTTGTTAAAGACCCAGTGACAGCAGACTCTAAATGTGCGCCTTAAAAACCCACACCTTAGCCAGTATCTCGGGCACTATTCTGCAGCCCTCTCAACCCTCCAAAGGACAATGCACTCCTTTCATGGACAAAGATTTCATTAAATTAATTTCCCGGACCATCTGGGAAGGCCACTGTCTACTTCTCTTTATCCCATGACTCTGGGTGGGGGGCCCCAGGCGGGACTCGGGGGCCTTTAATCTGACTATGCCAAGACCTCCTAATTAGTCGGCATTTTGCTTTCTCTCCATCTCCCAACCTCCAGCCCCAGCACCTTGAAAATAAATCAGTCTTCCTGACTGTTGACTGGAGCTGGTGAAGGCTAAGATCCTCGCATGCAGAGTCCCTGGTGGCACGTGGCAGGGTCTGAGCACAGCCCACCTGACTTCTGTCTGTGTGCTTGTGGCAGAGTCTGCGAGCCCCCGGGTCAGGAGGTAAGCACCTTAAACTCGGTCACGCCCCAGCACTGCAGACATTTGCACAAGGTCGTGGATAAGATCTTGTCATTTCCCCTCTCCTCTTCCTCCTCCCACTTCTCTGGTCGAAGGGTGGGTGGCTGCATTAGGGTCAGCAAGGCGCGGAAAGTCGGTTAACTGAACGTCTACTTTTTGCTAGATACTTCCGGGGCATCTCTTCACTTCTCACTCAAGGGTCCCAGCTCAGATATCACGACCCTTGCAGGGGTCCAAAGTGGAAGGAAATGGACTCTCACCGATCCATCTGCACTCTTCTCTGAAAGAATTGAAGTAGCTAGGGGACTAGGGCAGGAGGACCCCGCTCCTGGAAGTGGTGGTGGCGGGTCCCTGGGTAAAGGAAAGGCTCAATTGTGCTAGGGCTTCCTGCCCTGACAACTCCCGGCGTAGCCCCCGCCACGCTGCAGCCGCCTTTCTGCGGCCGGCCGGCTGGGGAGGCGGGGCGGGAAGGCTAACGCAGGAAAGGGTTACGGGAATAGCTTTCCAATGACAAAGTCTGGAAGGGACCCATGCCTCCGCCCCTCTGCGGGTTAAGCTGGCACGGTGCAGGGGAGGAAAACGAGGGCGATCCGCAGCCGGGCCACCCCTTCCTCCCACCCCCAGGCGCGGGCACTCCCAGCTCGGCCCTCCGCCGAGGCGGCCGGCGTGTGCCTAGGGCAGCGGGTCACTAGGCTCCGCCCCCGGCCGCCGGGGCCCGGGGGACGGCACTTTGTTCAGGATGCCGCCTCCTTCTCGTCGTGGAGTCGGAGCCCGCGGCCGCCCTAGTGAGAGGCTGGAGGCCGGAGCACGCAGTGCCGGCTGAGACTCGCCGCAGGAGCCGGCTGGGCCCCAGGAAGCCCCGGGAAACTTTCTGATCGCGCGGAGAGGACGCCCGGCACTGCGCTGCTCGGGCGATGCACGACTCCGCGCGGCGGCGGCGGCGCGAACCCAGAACCCGGGACCAGAGGCGCTCCGGTGAGTGGCCCGCACTGGGCGGACGCGGCGGAGGGGCAGGGCTCTGCTCTTAGCCGGGCTGCAACCAGCCCCAGACAGGAGAGTCTGGTGCCCGAGAGAGGCTGCAGGCTGGCGCAGGAGAAGCACGGGATAACAACCGGGATGCTAGCGGCTTCGCGGGAGTGCCTAGGCGCCGCTGCTGGACCTTGCGTCTGTCCTGGGGTTGACAACGCGATGACCTAACCACAACGCTCTGAGCTTCAGTTTCTCTTCTTAAGATATACCTGTCATTTAAAGTGTGCTGCGTTCCTGCAATTAAAGGCGCTAAACGCTGTGCTATTACACACTCACTCACACACACACTGACACACATAGTGTCCACACACAGTGTGTCAGTGTGTGTGTGTGTGTGTGTGTGTGAGAGAGAGAGAGAGAGAGAGAGGCAGAGAGAGAGAGAGAGACAGAGAGACAGAGAGAGACAGAGAGAGAGAGAGACAGAGACTTACACATAGTCAGACGACACCCGCCTCCTCCCGAAGCAGCTAGAAAACTCTTCGAACATCCCAGGAGGACATGAACAGCTAGGGCAGGTGACCCGGCTGGGCTGTTACAGAAAATTGCACTGCCCCACCACCTCTACCATCCCCCTAACTCGAAGATACCCTGAGAAGCGCCGTTTTCAAGGCTGTTTCTTCTGGCGCCTGCCCAGGACGTCTGGGAGCCTCGAGAGCATCCCGGGGGAGAGAGGAGGGAGGAGAAAAGAGAAGCTGGGAAAATGTGAGGGAGACGCTCACCTGAGGGTGCAGTGCCTGGGCTTTTTGTGCTTCCTTTTAATCTTCAGAGTCTACCAAACCTGGCGGTAGGATAGAGAGCCGGCCAAGTCTGCAGATGGTTTAAAGCGGAGGAAGGAACTGGGACGGACCTCAGTGGTGAGTGGCTTGGGCAGTGCACTAGAGTAATGCCCACCCAGCAAAGAGGGTTGCTTGTCCCCCAGAGCTGAACACAGGAAAATCAGCTGGTGAGTCAATGGGACTTTGTTAGTACGGTCCAAGAGCGCAGCTGGCGCCGGCTTAAGGGAAGTGCTGAATCTCCCCCCCCCCCCTTGATAACATGCTGTTTATCTGGCTTCCTGTTTCAGTTATTGGGATACCATTGGCTGGTTCAAATTCACTGCTGAGAAGCCTGTGTGTGACCAGTTCACCCAGAGAAGGTTATCTATCGACTTATACAATCTTTTGCATTGTGAGCTATTTCTGATTCCCTGGACTTAGGGCACCCCTGTAACTCATTTGTGAAGAGGTAGGAGGACTTCAACATAGACCCTCAACAAGGTCACTCCAGAGACCTTGAAGTACCTTCAGGCCAAAGGTACTTTTTTTTTGTTTTGTTTTGTTTTGTTTTTGTTTTTCGAGACAGGGTTTCTCTGTATTGTTTTGGAGGCTGTCCTGGAACTCGCTCTGTAGACCAGGCTGGCCTCGAACTCACAGAGATCCGCCTGCCTCTGCCTCCCTAGTGCTGGGATTAAAGGCGTGCGCCACCAACGCCCGGCAGGCCAAAGGTACTTGTTCCTCATCTGGCTGGTGAATTGTTTTCACCTCTTTGAATTTTGGTTGGTGAGTCTTTTTACCCTGTGAAGGGAATGGCAGCGATATGGATCTCATCTGAGATTAGCTTTACACAGGCACGGGTTTCTAGGAGAAGTTCTCAGTCAGCCTGTCCTTTCTCTGTCTGGATGGCTATGGGCTTTGTATGGGAGAGCAAATAGTTCTTTATCTCCCTTGCTCTGGTACTCATGCTTATAAAGTTGATCCGGAAGAGAGAGTACTGGACAAATAGACAACGATTTTGAGATTGTGTGCCAGCCTCTAGGGACCTTGACCTGAGGTTGCCAGGTGGGGGGAGTTGCTAATCTGAGCTCCTCTAGCCCATTTTTCTTAACTCCCCCCGGGGCAGATCTTGGATTTTGTTTTGTATTTTAGATGCATGAAAATCTTCACACAGGCCTTCCTTCCCTGGCACTTATTCTGACCACTTACAACACCCAGCACATAGTAGGCCCTTTGTAAATATTTGCCATCTTAATAAAATTGAGGGAAAATCTTAATGCCACCCAGAACCTGCCCTCTATTTCACTCAAACGGCAGGCTATCTGTTCTTTTCTAGTTGTTTGATTTGCCCCCCCTGCTAAAACCATTCCACATAATAGTCTGGGCTCTGGGATCTGGTGTCCCTGATGAGTCTTGGCCTGAGGAAATCAAAACCAGGAATGCCATTTGTCCTTCTCTTGCCTATCTGCCTCCTTCCCCAACTTCATATGAACAACCTCCCCACTCGCAGGCTAAGCAAAGTGCACCCAACTCAGCTCCAACCCAGCCTTCAGCTCAGCTTTGGTCCAGCAGGAAAATTTCAGCATCAGTGTCCAGAGCATCTTTTCAGGTTTGCTCACCTTTCATTGTTACTTGATGTCGCCTCCCTTCTTTTAAAGCACGTTAGCATTCTTTACGGGGTTTATAATAGGCTGACATTTAAAGTTAAAGAATCTCTGTGTCTCTCAGCCCAGCCCCTTCTCGCCTTCCTTCGGACCAGAATTCAGGCCTCCTGAAGGAAGGCTTGGGCTTTGGGCCACTCAGTGGGAGAGAGGGCAGAAACACAGTTCAGAGGAAGCAGGGCTGCTCCTGGGTGGAACCAACCACCAGCTCTTACTCTGTGGGACACTGAGATCTAAGAAGTGTGGCAGTACTACTTGGCAAACACTTCATCTTGCTGGCCCTTAGTCTCTTACACACACACACACACACACACACACACACACACACACACATACACACAAACAATTTAAAACATTTTTAAACATCGAAAAACATTACTAACTTCCCAAGTAGAAACTCTCTCCTCAGTGAACAGTTCCCTGGGCCTGATTTCCTAGGGAAGCTGACTCAGGCTTAGTCTCCTCCAAGGGGCCTGGGATTTTACTTTCCAGCTTCCTGTGACTCCTGAGACATGATGGGAGGCAGGATGACTGCCACCCAGACCACTCTGAGTGGCTCATAGATGTGATTCAGCTTCCAATGCATGTCCTGTGAAGTCCCTACTGCCACCCTCATCGAATCTATTTGCTCTACTTAATTTTAATGCACTAATATGCATGAAAAATTAGAGGCACCGATGCATGTACCTCACGGAGGACTGTTAATAACAAGATGTTTCCACACCAAAGGACTACTAGACTATTCTGATGTCCGGTCCTCTGATGCTCTGAAAGTTTCCCTACATGGATCTGCTTCTTAATTCCCTCTTTGGTTATTCCTTGTTTGTATGCCGATCTTATACACCGCTGATTTGCCTAGGATTGATTTTGTGTATGAATTTGGAATGTTCTGTATATTGGACCACATACACTGTGACTAGAGATAGTTTTACATCTTCCATTCTGACTTAGGTAGGTTCTTTTCTTCCTAACCCAATTGCTTGGGCTATAACTTTCAGTACATTGTTGAGCAGCGGTGGTGAGAGCAGGGGCCCTCTCTTGTTCTTCATCTTAGGGGAAAGGCTTTATGTCTTTTACCATCAGCTATGATGTGAGCTGTGCGTTTACCATATTTGCCCTTTATCACCTGGTAGGAATTCCAGTTATAGCTTTCTATTTTTTTAATTGTGAAAGGCTGTTGGATATATCCAACGTTCTTTTCTGCATCTTTTGAAAAGCCGCATGGTTTGCTTCCTTCCTTCATTTGATGATGTGGTGTACTTCATGACTCTTCTTCGTTGAGCCACCCTTGTATTCCTGGAATAAATCAACCTTTTCAATAATCTGCAATTTCCTGTCACCAGAACCAATGGTGACGGGCCATACCTCAAGCTGGATGGAATGAGTACCATATATATAGCATAAAATTTACCCATTTAACGACTTTCTTTTTCTTGTGAGACACTCTCTCTATATAACCCTGACTATCCTGGAACTCTCTATGTAGACCAGGCTGGCCTCAAACTTACAGAGATCTGCCTGCTTCTACATCATGTGTGCTGGGACTATATGTAGCACCACCGAGCCTGGTTTAACAACTTTTTGAAAGACAGCAGTTGTTGTGTAATACAAAGTGGCTTCAAGATCTAAGTCCCCCTGCCTCAACCTCTCAAGCACTGGAGATTACAAATGTGTCCCATACCCAACCTTTTACCTACCTGTCAACATGCAGTTCAGTGGACTTAGATGCTCCACATTGTTTTGTAATCACCACCACTAGCTACCTCTAAAGCTTCCTAATCCTCCTAAACTAAAAGCTACCTATTAAAGATTAACTCCCAGCTAGCTTCAAATGGTGGCACAGGCTTTAACCCCAGTACTCAGAAGGCTGATGCAGGAGGACTGGGAGTTTATCAAGCCTTTGTTTCAAAATTCCACAAGTAAATGAATAAATAAAACTAAGTAATGAATAAGCCCTCCTTTGCCCCTCCTCCCATCTTCCGGTAACCAAATTGTGACACTCTTTTACTTGTTTTGTTTACTTTTGATTTTTCAACACAGGGTTTCTCTTTGTAGCCCTGGCTGTCCTAGAACTTGTTCTATAGACCAGGCTGGCCTTGAACTCACAGAGATTCGCCTGCCTTCTGAGTGCTGGGGTTAAAGGCATGCACCACCACTTTTGTTTTTATTTTTTACTTTGCAATCCCAGTTCCCTTTACCTCCTCTACTCCTGCTGCCCCCACTGCCCCTCCCCCGCCACCTCCCATCTGCTCCTCAAAGAGTGTAAGGTCTTCCCTAGGAAGTCTACTAAGTCTGTTCCATCATCTTGTTGAAGTAGGACCAAGGTCCCTTGCACCCCATCCTAGACTGAGCAAGGTATCTCTCCATGTAGAATGGGCTCCACAAAGTCTGTTTGTGCATTAGAGTTAGATCTTGGACCCACTGCCAATGGCCTCGAATATTGCCCCGGCTGCATCACCGTCAGCTGTATTCAGAGAGTCCAGGTTCTGCAGTTGGCAGACCAGAGTCAGTGATCGCTCACTAGCTCCGGTCAGCTGATTCTGTGGGTTTCCCTATCATGGTCTTGACTCTTTTGTTTGTGAACATTTTTTAAAGACCAGGAAAGTAAGTGCTTTAAGTGTTAACTATTACAGGGTTAAGGTATCCTCTCTTCTCATCTTCCACTGTGCCTCGTGTCATGACAAGACTGCCTCAGATTAGACACGCGCTAATGGTGTGTGACCATTCCAAAGCCCAGGTGACCTTCCCTTCCCCTGCCTGAGCTTCTTCATCCTGCTTCTCTTCCCCTTCAACCACACCTTTTAAACATCACTGGTTTCTGAACTCACCCCCCAGAGACTTACCTTCAATCAGTTTGGAATATGGCTTCCGTACCTGTCATTAAAAAAATCTCCCTGGTAATTCCCATGCTGCGTGAGGGTTGTGAGCTCTGCACCTGGCTGAGCTGATTTGCTGGCTGGGACCTTTGACTGTCACAGCTTCCAGTGACAAAGTCCCCTCCCATCTGGTCAACAGTACTGACCCGCTTTACATCCCTTTACTAATTTCGAAATCTATTTACAAACAGAATAAATGGCAACTTCCACAGAATGAAAACTTTAAAAGCTGAAAAGAGCTTTAATTTTGTAGTCTCACCCCCCCCCATAAAGTCTCCCTTCTGGTGCTCGTCCAGAGACATCTCCGTTACTAGGGGACACATGACAACACCACTGTAATCTACTTATTTCCTATTTGACAGTTCTGCTTTCAGAGTTCCTCCTTGTAGTCATCAGTTATAGTTGCAACCTTCACCCCTAGGTGGAAAACACCAAAATGTTAGTGAGTATCACCAAAATGCTTCCCCAAATTAGGTGTGGAATATTCAAATTCAGCCACGCAGGATAAGTGTGGTTACCTGCAAAATGCCACCTTTTCACTATTTGAAAATAGCTGCTGTGCCCC